TTTGAGTACTGCCAGGTGTGCCCTGGAGGCTCCCAGCTTGATTGGCAAGGGAATCACAGGTAGGGGCCCCAGAGCCTTCTGAGCACTACTTGAGAGTCCCCACCCCACACCCCCAAAAAAGAGGAGGAGAATTTGTCTATGAGTTTGGAGAAGAGAACAGAAAACAAATCATTAAGGGCTTTGCAGACAGCCATAACTAGTTTGGGCTTTGCCTAGATGTATTAAGAATAAACCCAGGTTCTCATACATGTAAAGCACTGAATTACATCCTGACATAGGAAACAACCAGAAGGAAAATTTTGGTTGTTTGTTTTGGGGTCAACCACCTGGCAATACTCAGGGTTACTCCTGGCTCTGCACTCTAAATAACTCAGGGCACCATATGAGATGCCAGGGATTAAAACAGGAATATTGCTTCAGGACTTGGCAGTCTCCTGCCCCCACGCCTGACTGTCCTCGCCACTGGGGCCCCTTGGAGGGGAGCAGGTTGAGCTTTCCTCCCCGCCCCGACCAGGGCTCCGGCAGCCAAAGACCTCCAGGACCAGCCACCACCATTCTGAGACCACTCTCCACACACATGAAGGTACTGGCAGAGGGACAAAGTCACGCGGGTTCCGGGGCCGAGATCTCCAAGCCTACTCGGATTTGGGCCTAGCATCCTCCACCCAGATCCTCCAAATTCCAGTAGGCGGGGGTCACACCCACCAACTGGCCCCCTGGCGCCGTGTTAATCCCATCAGCGGCCAAGACTCAGAGACTATAAAAACCAGCTCCCGGAACCGCGCGGCCGCGACATCTTATTATGACATCTTATTATCTCATTCCTACTTTGGACAAACTGGCAGGCTACCGAATGTAGCCTGCCCACACAGCAGAGTCTGGCAAACTCCCTGTGGCGTACCCAATATGCCAAATACCAGTAACAATGATGGGTCTCATTCTCCTAAAGAGCCTTGAATATAATCTCAGGGCTAGGATGAAGGAGACTTTACTGGGGCCTGCTCGAGGCAATCGACGATTAACAGGATGATTTGTGATTGTGCTTCAGGACTTAAAGGATCAAGATTAAAATCTTGGAAAACTACTCCCTATTTAGAGTGGAGACATTAACCTGGAAGGCAGAGAAAATGTCTAAGAGACTGTTGCAACTAGACAATTATCCAAATCATCTAAAGAGGCAGTGGAGATAAAAGGATGAATAAATTTACAACTTATCACATATTGAGAGGCTTAAAGGCAAGATTTAGTGTTTCAAAGTGTGAATAAGTTTTATTCAATATATTACTAGAAGTACTTGCCATAGCAAGTAGGCAAGAAAAATATATCAAAGGTATTCAGATAGGAAAGGAAGAAGTCAAGCTTTCACTATTTGCAGATGACATGATACAATATTTTTAAAAAATCCTAAAAACTGTACCAAAATTCCTACAGAAAGCTCCTAGACAATAGATTTGTACAATAAAGTGGTAAACTACAAAATTAATACACAAAAACCCACGGCTTTTCTATATACAAATAATTAAATGGAAGAAATAGATATTTTTAAAAATCCTGTTTGCAATTGTGCCTCAGAATATCAAATACCTAGAATCAGCTTAACTAAAGAAATGAAAGACCTATGCAAACAAAATTATAAAACACTACTTAAGAAATAAAGGAGTACACAAGAAAATGAGAAACACATCTCTTCTCATGGATTGGGATATTTAATATCATCAAAATAATAATACTCCCCAAAGCATTGTATAGATTCAATGCAGTCCCTATAAAGATACCCATGCCATTTTTTGAAAGAAATAAATCAAACACTCCTGAAATTTATATGGAACAATAAACCACTCCCCATTAATAGCTAAAGCAATCCTTATCCTTGAGAAAAAGAGGATGGGAGGCATTGCCTTCCTCAACTTCAAACAGTACTCCAAGTGGTAGTAATTAAAACAACATGGTAGTAAAATAAAAGGAGACCCTCAGATCAATGAAATAGGCTCAAATATCCTTAGACAGACCCTCAGGTATATGATCAGTTAATCTTTAATAAAGGAGAAAAAATATGTAGTGAAGCAAGGAAAACTTCAATAAGTGGTTTTGATAAAACTTGTCAGCTACATACAAAAAAATTAACTCAGACCTCTTTCTAATGCCATCCACAAAAATCAAATCAAAATGGATTATAGATCTTAATATTAGATCTTAGAACATAGGCAGAATTCTACATGACATTGAAGCTAATGGCTTCAAAAATTTTCAAAAATGCAACAACACTGACCAACAAGTGGAAACAAATGGGATTACATCAAACTAAGAAGCTCCTACACTTAAAAGGAAATTGCTCAAGCTCGAGGTAAAGGCCCTCCCATTGTTCATCGATTTGCTCCATTGGAGACTTTGTTGTTACTGTGTCTGGCATATCGAATACGTCACGGGTAGCTTGCCAGGCTCTGCCGTACAGGCGAGATACTCTCGGTAGCTTGCCGGGCTCTCCAAGAGGGGCGGAGGAATCGAACTCGGGTCGGCCATGTTGGCTGCGTGCAAGGCAAACACCCTACCGCTGTGCTATCGCTCCAGCTCTAAAAGGAAATAATGACCAGAATACAAAGACAGCCACGGAATGGGAAAAATTATTTACTCAACATTCATCTGATAAGGGGTTAATATCTAAGATAGATAAGGCACAGGTAGAACTTTACAAAAACCTTGGGGGTAAAACTGGGGGAAAGAGATGAACAGAAACTTACTCAAAGAAGAAATACAAATGGCTAATAGGCACATGAAAAAGCACTCTACATCGCTAGTTCCCAGGGAGAAGCAGGAATATCATCTCACTCTACAGAAACTGGCACACACATTGTAAAAGAACAACCAGTGGTGTGGCTACAGAGAGAGAAGGACTCTCATTCATTGCTAGTGGGAATGCCTATTGGTCCAGCCTTTCTGAAAAAATAAATGGACCTTCCTCAAAAAAACTAGAAATCAAGTTTCCACAGGACCCAGCAATACCAGTCCTGGAAATATACCCTAGAAGTCCCAAAACAGAATGCAGAAAAGCCATCTGCATTCCTATAATCCTTGCAGCTCTGTTCATAATAGCCAGAATCTGGAAACAACCCAAGTGCCCAAGAACAGACAGTGGATAAAGAAACTGTGGCACACCTACACAATGGAACACTATGCACTGTTAGGAAAAACAGTCATGACATTTGTTCATACTGGATGGACATGGGGATTTTCATGGAGTGAAATGAGTCAGAGGGAAATTGACAAACATAAAATGATTGCACTCGTTTGCAGAATATAAAAAATAGTATGTGAATAATACCCTAGGACAGTAGAAACAAGGTCCAGGAGGATAGGAAGTGTGAGAGTTAGTACAGAGAAATGACCGCTATGACAAGGATAGTTGGAAATGATCACTCTGGACAGAAACTGAATGCTAAAAGGAGGCAAAGTGACATTCATGACACCCTTTCAGTACAGTATCTAAAATGAAAATGTACGTGCGTGCGTGCGTGTGTGTGTGTGAGAGAGAGAGAGAGAGAGAGAGAGAGAGAAAGAGAGAGAGAGTGAGTTGTATCTGCTATAGAGGCAGGTTATCAGGGTGGGGCAGAGGGCAGTCGAGTGGGAAAGTGGTGAAATGTGTGAATCAGTGAAGGGATGGGTATTGGAACATGACTTGAAACTCAATCACAAACAACTGTGTAACTGTATATCTTGTGATGATTCAATTAAAATAAATGTTTTTTTAAAAAAAACTGTGAGGAAGGGAGATGTAAAGAAAAGTACAGCAGACAGGGCGCTTGCCTTGCACTGGGCCAACCCAGGTTTAATCCCTAGCATCCCATATGGTTCCCTGAGCACCAACAGTAGGAATTTTATAAGCAGCCCACAAGCGAAAGAAGCAAAAACCAAACGCCAAGGCTTGTGTACTAAACAAAGGAACGTTATTTCTGTAAACTGAGGCAGGTAAGATTTTAGGAGTTGGCAGATCAGGCTCCTGGTCATGCTGAGTTGATGACTGGGCAGCAGAAAATGGACTGCAAAGGTCCAAGCGGCAGGAAAAAAGTCTTAGTTAAAAGACCCGAGTTGGTTGTCAGCATTATTATCTAAGGCACAGCTACTTTGTTTCAGGATAATTCGGGCGTGTAGTAGAGGCTGGGGTTGCTGACACAAAGCGCCCAGAACTTTCCGTGGAAAATGCCCAAGGCTGCGGGGAGGAAAACGCACTCTATGCCGAGAGGCCTCGCTGTTGGAGCTGGTGAGGCAGAGCTGGGTAAGCCTTGAAGGTGAGGGGCTCTCAAATGGGGGGGGGAGGGGGCTTGTCAAAGGGCGACTCCCAGATGCGGGGCCCCCTGGCGGCCGGTGGGTCAGAGCCCCGACAGACGCGCTGCCACAGATCTCATTTGCCTCCAGTCGGGCGTGGGCAGTCGTAACCAAATCTCATTTAATGGTCACTTTCGGCTTCTTCCCCCAAAGGAAGCAGTGCCAAATATACGGGGGGAGGGGGGAGGGGGAAGGGGGGGGGAAGCTGAGGCGGAAACTAAGCCAGAAAGCAGATCTCATTCATATTTCGTAGTTCGGTTGCTTTACGGCCGATCTTAAAAACTGATAGACCCACGCAGCATAATCACAGCAACACGGGAACCGCAGGGGGGGGGTCTTCCCTGCCGGCCGCCTCACCAGCGTCCCCCTGAGCTAACCACCCGCCTCAATCGCGCTAAAGCGCCCCCAGTGCTGGAGGCCTCCTCTACTACGGGTCGCCTGAGGGCTCAAATCAAGCCGCGCGAACTAAGCTGGTCATGCGCCACAAAAGGATTCGCAGGGCGGGGCGATCTGATGACACCTTCTCTCTCTTGCTCCCATTGGCTTCGGTCTCGCAAGCGCTCCTGCCCCAATGGCTACGGAGCCTGCAAGTCCCGCCCCTCTCGGCGCGCGTGCGCACGCGTGGCGGACGCTCGCCGCAGTGAGCAGGCGCAGCCTCGTGTCGCCTGAAGGGGCGGGTAGTACGGCGCGCGCTGCGTCCGGGCGCTTAGCTTTCCCTCCCGGTCCCGCCCTCCGTCGCGGCAGCGCGGTGCACCTTGGGATAGGGAGCGATCTCCGAGCGAGGCAGCAAGATGGACGCGGGATTCTTCCGCGTAAGTAGAAGCGCGGGGATCTGGGGTGAGGTGAGAGGCTTCCCGGAGAAACCCCGCAGGAGGCCTAAGCTCGGGACGCGGTGGCCAGCAAGGCCGAGGCTTCGAGGTTCCTCCGTATCTTCGCTGCCGGGGGACGCTCACCCCTGCCCTGCGGCGGAGACCGGTGCGCCCCTGCGCAGTCTCCTCCTCCAGGATCGTCCCCCTACGCGGCGGCGACGGTCGCCGGAAAATGGCGGCGGGAATGGGGCCGGAGTAGGACTTCGCCTCCCTTTTGCCTAGCGGGGCCTGCAGGCCGAGCTTCGCGCGCCGCGGCGTCTTGGGGCCTAGCGGAGCCGCGAGGAGGAAGTCCCCGGGGGGAGGCCGCAGGGAAGCGCCGAGGTGACGGGCGGCGGGAGGGTCCCGGGCGTACGGCGTTGGGGGGGTTGCCGCACCGGGGAAGCATGTGAGGACGCGGAACTGTGTGGAGCGGCTGCTCTCGGCAACGCGGACGCCCGCCGCGTCCCTCCCGGCTCGTCCCAAGCCTTCGCGGAAGCGCGAGTCTGAGGAGAGCTCCCGCCCAATTGGGGGGCCCGGGAGGGAGGAGAACTCCCGAGAGCGGCAGAGCGCTCGGCCGCGGAGGTCAGAGGAAGCGGCGGGGACCGAGCGGGGCGCGGTTCCCCCGCCCGCCTCCCGGAGGAGAGGCGCCTCCGACCCGGGCTCGCGGGGCGCGAGCGGGCCGGCCCGAGTCGGGCTCCGAGGCGCCCAGAGCGACCCGGGGACTCGTGGTCGCGGCGTCTGCGAGGAACGAGGAACGGGCCCGGTGTCAGAACCGGTTTGGTCGAAGCTGCTCTTGGCTTCGCGTGTTGTAGATGGACTCCAGTCCCTGGGGCGGTTGGTAGGCTGGCAGTCTTGAAGCAAGCGATATTTTGATAACGCCAAACTTAGCTTCAAGTTCTCCCTTCCCTGGCTTTTTTTTTTTCCTCCTTCTTCTTCCTCTTGGTACGCCAGCTAGGTTTTCATCAAAAGTTGCCATTATTGCCCCAAGAGTGTGTGACTTCGCGCTACCAGCCCTCAGGTTATGCAAACAATGCCATGTTTATGGAATGACAAATGGCGAGAGCTTGTCAGAATTTCCCGCTGCTGCTGAGCTCTCTTGAAATCTTCTTCACAGCATTTTGTTACTGTTTCCCCGTAGCCCAGGTGTAATATTTGAGACAAAAGCTCAAATTGTTTTTGGTTTTTTGGTTTGTTTTCTGTGGAGGAGTTCCACAGTGGGAGAGCAAGGTGATTGTAAATTTTTTTTTTTAAATGAAACTAGGTTCTGGATGTTAGTGAAAATCTGGAGGATTGAGGGTTCAGTACCCCCTGAAGAGTTGACTGGATTTAGCTCTTAGTTTAGTGTAATAACTAGTTAGTAAATTAAATTTCTTAATTTAGAAAGGGCAGTTTTCATTTGCTAATCTGCCACCTGCCAGTTTCTTCACAATATTATTTGATATACACAGCCCTGCCAGATTTTAATAAGGATAGAAATATTCTGAGAGGTTAAGTTACTTGTTTTGAGGTCATATGGCTTAAGTAGTGGCAGAGTTTGGGTTCTGGTCAGATTATATTCTTCCCACACCAAATTTTCTTGATCATTTCCCAGGGTACAAGTGGCTAACTCAGTCAACCAGTCATTTCACATGGCCATTTATTTCTGTATTTAATTGAGCTAGTAGCAGTGGCAAAAAGACGAATTGCTGGTCACATGTAGTGTTTAGGATCCTTATTCTTTGCTGAAATTGAATTTAAGGTAAGCCTGCAATTCCATGCTAAATTGTGAAAACTAGTACAACGGCCTGAGGTTATTTTTTCCGTTTTCTTCATCTTGTATTTGACGCTACAATAATTTTGCAAACATGCTTTTAGAAATAAATAAACCTTGACAGTCTTGTTTGAAAGCATTTATTAAACATAATTTTTTATTTTACTTTGTTCTCTTAAGTTTTAAGTGTGTTAGCATAAAGATACAAATCCACTGTTGCTTTGGGGGAGGTTGTTACAGTGAATGTGTATTTTGTAATTTGTAGTCATTTTTTCTTAAGGGCAGCTACATTGAAGGAAAAAAGAGTAGACGTTCTGCAGCAAATATACTTATTGGTTGTGTTTCTATTTACTTAACCTTCAACCTCTCCAATGTAAAGCTCAAACCCTCATTAACAGATAAAAAGGAATTTAAATTTGAACTCCTAATTAAAATGTCTTTCTCATTCCTGCAGGGAACAAGTGCAGAACAGGATAATCGATTCAGCAACAAACAGAAAAAGCTACTGAAGCAGCTGAAATTTGCAGAATGCCTAGAAAAAAAGGTAATTTGGGGGTTGAAAGTGATTTTAAAACCTTTAGA